TGCCTGGCTAATGTACTATAATTACAAAATGAATTGAATTAAACCCCAATTACTTCTGAAATATTCCACATTAATCAGGATATAATGGGTGTTTTACAAACAGAGCTGTTCAGTAACGTGACACTGACTGCGCACATTTGTCCCTGAGGTTATAAACATTGTATTAACTGTGTAATTATTCATACACACAAGACAAATGGCTGTCTCAAAACCTAACGATAGACAGCGTTCAGGGGTATCGAATGAAGCCCAAATAGGCTGTAGGTAGGCAGCTCGCTAGATGTGAAGCAGCAGACACTCACCGCGTTGACGTTCCCTTCCTGACATCGCACATCATGCATTTGAACGCTTCGGCGCTGTTCTTGAACGTGCACATGCTGCAGTCCCAGTAGCCGCCGCCGTCGTCTGAGGAGGGCTTCGCTTGGCGTTTCGGCCTTCAAAAAGCAAAACAAACAGAGAGAACATCACATCTCGGACTGTAGAAATCTCCGACACACATATCTGATCCTATCCATACAAAGAGTCAGCCGGACGCCTGCGCAAGCGACGCGGGTTTTTTTTGGTTTTTTTTTTAACGAAATGACACTTTAGGTTGATCAAAACAGCCAGTCCGCCATGGTGGCCACTCTGTTGCGTCTTTCTCATTCAGGCGCGCGCTGCCTACTGGTCTGTTTCAAGCCTTGAGACGGTCTCGAATTTCTTGAAGCCACGGCTGTGGGAGTTTCTTTCTGTTTGCTTTTACCTCGTCGGACTCCTCTTGTCTCCCATGCTGCAGAAACTTTGTGCGAAGCGTCGCAGGCACAGCCGCCTCTCGCGCTCTGTCCTCTCTCGAGCGGCTCCCTCCCAGCTGTCGTAGAAACGCCAGCGCAGCGGTGGTCACGTGACCGGGCTCCACCAATCCGGCGCCGAGTTATATTCTCAAAAAGTAGGGTCCGTGTGGGTTATATAAAAGAGCTGTGCTCCTGCTTCACCCCGACCCCAAACCAACAGAGCGAGAGAGAGTGAGGCAACTAACTGCTCTACTCTAAATTAAAGACATCCGTTCATGGCACTTTCCACAAATAGGGTACAACATGCCTTTACGACGATTTTACCATGGTTTTGCCACAAATAAAGCCAAAAAAACATGGTTACTGACTATAGTTAAACTGTGGAGACTACAAATTTGCCATCGTTTTGCTACACTAATCATAGTTTAAACATGATCATATTTATAGTAAAACTGTGGTCATACAAATGGCAATCAATACGCCCAAAAAAACATGGTTACACTATAGTAAAACCATGGTTTTTGTAAGGGTAGTGCCTAAACTCTACAAAGTTGTTTTTCTGTTTCAGCAAGTGGTCTGTGACAACTTTTTATATGAGCGGTTTTGTTTTCTATTTATTTTCCGTAATGTTACCAAACTTTGGGTCTAAATGCAGCTTAAAAGCTTGATTTGTGTGATGGTTTTGTTAGCTATTTTCTAACAACAAACATCAAAATTAAAATAAACTAACAATACAAAACAAAGAGACAAACAGAATGGTTAACAGGGTTGCAATTTCAGCCAACATTAAGCGGTTACACAACTGGGACCAAATATTGTTGTTGGAAATATTTCCCATTTTTCTACTTCCAGAAGAATATTTGCTCGATTTTTTTGTTATAACCACGTATAACAGAGCTGAATTGTTGAGATTGACTGATGCACTCAGGTTTTAGATTACAGTTCAACAGATCAACCGTTAAACCATCAGATATCAGTCAAGAACAAGATCTTTGACTTGGGACAGGCCAAAATCTTATTTTACCCATTTGAATTTGTATCGTAGAAATGTGCATACATTTCACACATACATTTGCTAATGATATGAAGCAAAACATTTTATTTCAAATATGCTGTATTTTTTGAGGTCTTTCTCACTGAGAATGCAAACACTTGTATATTGAACTTTCATAACTTTTGACTTTGTATCGGTGGGTGAAAAAAATGAGAGCCGAGGACAAAGGTGACGGGAAGTTATTTTAAAACAGTTTATTTCCCATGCTTCCTGGAACAATAACAAGAATGTAATTGTGAAATACACAAAACTACACTTTATTTACAAGATAAAAAAAAACAAAAAAAACATTTACAGAACTTTTCTGCAGGATCTTTAAATCCCAAAACTACATACCCAATATTTGGAGGTGTAATTATCTGAATGAGGAGCATACAATGACAACACACATCTCAGATGAAGGTAAGAAGAGTTTTTTTTTTCTTTCTGACTTTCTGCAACATAGTTTGACAAAATTAGAAATTCAGATCAATATGTGACCTTCTTAATAGGTAAGAGTGGTT